TTGAGGGCTTACTCGCACAATTTTTAGCATGGGGGCTTACACATTAATATGGGATAAGTCTGAGGGCTTAATATCGAGTTTTGCCTATACATGGAGAACCTCATTTTACGGTTTGGAAGAAAAAATGAGGGGAAGCACAATAAGTTAGTGGACGCTGATACATCAACCCCTGTTTCACACTCTGTTACACCCTCATTACTTTCCGTTAACTCTAAAGTTACCTAACCCAACCCAGCCCTTGCTGTTCATCATCCTCACTTCTTCTCTCGTGACCCCAAATTTCGAGGCTGGTAACTATTTCTCCTCGAATTCAAATAGTTGTTATCAGACTGAAAGGATCTACATCTGGATTTCGGCTCCGGTAGCTCCGGTGGAGATAGAGCAGATTCAGGTTGGAAGATCCGGGTAGACAGTGATGTCAATGAGTCGATATGGATATCCTTGGTGGCGACGTCATCTGTAAAAGAAGGGTTCGAGGCGGCCACCGACTCTTCGGATCTGGTTGTGACACCGAAAGGGTTGGCGGTCTCATCCGCTGGCTTTTGGATCTGGTTCTACAAACGATGCTTCAACAGGAACTTGAGGAACACACTGTACAACTTCAGCAGCCTGGGTTCCTTCGAACCGACCTCCAACAGATCTGCTTTCGCCACCATCGCCCTGTAACGCCATGTCCCCTGCTTCTGGGTCTGATGATTCCGCCAGATCTGCTTCTGGGTTTGATGCTTCTCTCTCCACTGTTTCAATTGATGATTGCTCTATCTCTGCTCCTACTCCTGCGACCCACGAGAAATGGAAAAGCATCGTGACAGCGATGGACCATTTGAGAAAACAGGGGAACAATCGAAGATGTCCGAGAATCAACTGGAACGGCATAGATAGAAAAGGAGAGAAAGAAAGAAAGGACTGGGTTACGTGGGTTTGGGAGTTAACGGAGAGGTAACGAAATGTAAGGTGGTAGTGGAGGGTGTAACGGTGGAGAGTATACATAGCATTGCCCTAAGTTACTAAAAGGGGTAAGTGTATAAATTAAGAAATATAATTAATATATTAGTTATAATTAATTTATATAAAAAAAATATAAACATTAATTTTAAATTAAAATTTTAATTTTTAAATATAAATTGAAATTTTAATTTTTTTAAGTCAAGACTGATACATATTAATTTTATATAATTAATTCTTAAATATTTTAATTAAATTGTACAAAATTAAAGAAGTCCAGTCACAAATCGCTGCCTGCTACTACCTTTAGCTAAGTTGTTGGTCTGATTGTGTCCTTAACTGCTAATTTAAAAATTGAGATTACAGTCTTTCTAAAAAATTTATAGTTTTTTCGCTTAGTTTTTGTTTAGAAATATGAGATTCTATAACATTATGGAATCCGCAACTCTTAGTATTTGGTGTCTTATAAATATTTAGCATCTGCTCTTTTTTTAAAACCAAAAAGGTTAATCGAATTTCATCTACCTCAATACTAAAGCCGGGACAAAGAGCAAAAATAAGAGAACATTCAAGCTGACATTTTTCATTGCTTTCTTTACATATAAAGAGATAAAAAAATCAAAATTCGTAGGGAGAACTAATAGAAAAAAAATTCTTAAGAAAAATCTCAAATTATGTGATTTTAATTAATTTTAACCGAAATTATGGGGTGGGTATTATAGATTTATGGTTTTCTAATTGACTTACATCATCAGTGCCGAGTTCAAATTAGTAATGGGAAGAAGGTTAAATTGCTGAAAAATAAACCATTTTTTTGTATTTCGTTAAATTTTAAAGATTATTATTTTTTAATAAATTTAACTAATTAAAACACTAAATTGAAATTAATCATTTCTTTTATAATGCATCCCCGGCAGACATTAACAGATATGTATACGGTGTAAGTTTCTTTCAACAAACGTTATCGAAGGGCTAATTTGCATGATCGATTGTGGAAATTGAGGGCTAGCGAATCATGCAAATTACACCTTGAACATGTCAAGAGGTGGCAAAAAAGCCCCTCAATTGAAATCAGTAGCACTTGACCCCTTAAAGCCATGAGCGGTGACAAATTAGCACTTGTTTAACTGCTAATCAGTGTTCTGTTAAAACTAATGATTCTTTAATTAGAATGGATTCAACAGCTTACTTGGACACCATGTGGTACATTGAAGTCTTGACATGGCCTTTTATGTCATTAAATTAATAATATTTTTTAATTTTCTTAAATATTCTATTAAGATTTAATTATTGTAATTTTAGTTTAGTGCATTAAAATTTAATTATTTGCAATAGAATTTAATTGGATTAATTAAATGTCAATTGTCACTTTGTCAAGTAAACAAGAATAAAAAAATCTTACGTTCTATGGCATAGTTTTATAATTAAATAGCATTTCTTTTTATTCATGAGAATTATCTCAGTTTAAAAATTTTAAAGAATTAATTGTAAATTTAAAATTTCACAAAAAGAAAAAGGAAGTTTGAAGGAAGAGAAATTGAAAACTACGAAATTACATGAACTAATTTTTTTATATAAATGGTTTAATACCCTTTTTGGTCCCTTTACTACAGGAAAAAAATCTTTTTTGGTCCTTATATAGAAAAAATTCTCTTTTTGGTCCTTCCTGTTTATAAATTCGATCTTTTTTTAGTCTTTCCGTTAAATTTTGGTAGATATGGCAGGTTAATTAACAGAAATACTCATTCTTTTTTTTTTTTTAACTAAATTATGTTGAAAATCCACATGGCAAAAATTGATAACATGGTAAATTTTTTCCCTTTAATTACTAATATACCCTCATCTTCTTCCCCGGCTTCTCTTTCCTCCAGCCCTTTTTTTTTTTCTTTTTTTTCTTTTACCTCCAGGCGAACCCAAGAGCCTGGGTTCGCGAGGAACCCAGCTCGTGGGTTTGCGACGAACCCAGGTCTTGGGTTAGCAACGTCCATTTGCAATGCTATTATCCAACTGTGGAGCCGCCGGAGCCGTCGGCCTTTTGGCCTACACCGGGAACTCCAATGTGAAATGGAACAAAGTTTGCAATATTATCGATAGATTCTGTAGGCAAGGTGCTGTTCGCGATGAACCCAGGTCTTGGGTTCGCGATGTCCGTTTGCAATGCTATCATCCCGCTGTGGAGCCGCCGGAGCTGTCGGCCTTTTGGCCTACACCGGGAACTCCCATGTGAAATAGAACAAAGTCTGCAATATTATCGATTGATTCTGTAGGCAAGGTGTTGTTTCAATTGCTTGGTTGCTTCTTTATTGTGGCATTCCTCTTCCATATTGTGGTTGCTGTTTTGAGCCTTCACAACGGATCCAATTCCGAGTAGAATCTATTTAGTTAGATTTTTAGATTTTCCTTACATAATGTTTGAAACAAATAAGCATGATATGTAAACATACATTTAACAAACAGTATCTGGAAGTATATATGTAAAATTATGAGTTTTATCAAGACTGAATTGCATCCAAAAAAAATAATTGGCAAAAATTTTGTTCTAAACTGGTGATGCCAGTGACGAGTTTAGAAGTCTCTTGTAAGAATTGAGTAATTGAAGAACATTATCTCCTGATAACAGTTTCTGAATCATCAATGCACTAGCAGCTCAGTTCTGTGATAACAAGTGCCTGCAGTGCTTCAGAATGTAGTCCGATCTCCATTGCCTCAACATGGAATTTCATTTTTGTCAAGGTCTTCCAGATTTACTCTCACTGTTGAACCAGAGCTCAATAGACTAACCATGGTAGGAATATCAGATTTTAAAGAAGCAGCCAATGCCTGATGGATGATAAAAAAATGAGGGACAAAAGAATGAGTTTCAATTCTTGGACGGGTTCAGTTAACAAAACATGAGGTTTAATATCTAACGAAAACAATTCACCAAGCAGCATACCTTCCTATCCTCGTCTCTTTGATGCTTAATAACTTCAAAAGGCAATTCATTTACCAGTTTCTGAAGTTCATCCGTGATACCTGACTTTTTTGAATTGGGTAAAGACTGGATTGTAGAAATTGAAAAATTAATTAAAAGACATAACAGAGAAAAAAATTAAAAATGCATACCATGTTAACTTCAACAGACGGCAGTGATCACCTTCAACAAACAGACAAAAGATGTTCTTCCGTGTGCTTAATTTCAAGCTCCAAGAAGTCTAGTTTTAGTGACATGCATGAGTCAACAATTGATAAATTTAAGTCACGGACGTGGCGAACCCAAGACCTGGGTTCATCGCGAACCCGAGAGCTGGGTTCCTCGTGAACCCAGGCTCTTGGGTTCGCCTGGAGGTAAAAGAAAAAACAGAAAAAACAAAAAGGCTGGAGGAAGGAGAAGCCAGGGAAGAAGATGAGGGTATATCAGTAATTAAAGGTAAAAAATTTAACATGTCATCAATTTTTGTCATGTGGATTTTTCACGTAATTTAGTTAAAAAAAAGAATAAGTGTTTTCGTTAATTAACCTGTCACATGAACCAAAATTTAACGGAAGGACTAAAAAGGAGTCGAATTTGTGAACAATAAAGATCAAAAAGGGGATTTTTTCGGTACAAGAACCAAAAAAAGGCTTTTTCCTATAGTAGAGGGACCAAAAAGGATATTAAACCTATATAAATTAATTGTTAAAAGGTGCTTTAATTACACCTAAGTTAGAAAAACTATTATTAAATGGTTAAATCCGTACAATAGTTTAAGGATTAACTTGGGAGTCCGTACAATAGTTTAGGGACCAACTCAGGGTTCGTACAATAGTTCAAGGACCAAATTAAGGATTTCTTTAGTTCAGGGACAAAATCAGAGATCCGTACAATAGTTCAGGGACCAAAATTGGGGTTTAACCTTATTAAATTTATTTTTCTTTTTTTTTTTCCACCTATTCTTTTAAATAACTTTCTAGTTTATCTTTTAAGAGTGTCATGCCCCAGAACCTAAATCCGGGGATATAGCAAACACTGTGCACTCGTGAGAAGGTCTCACAAATGCACAAGACTCGGAATTTATCACACCACAATCTGATACCACCAAAATCTCAAAGTCAAATCTCTTGTAACTAACAATCTATTCAATGAATTTATAAAATCTCCAATTAAAATCCAGTTTACAAGATCATGATCTATATCTAAATTCTATATCAATCTCGAAATGGCTAGCCTCCTAACTCGTCACTTTCCTCGATTTCCCCGTCCTCGGTTTCGCTTCCTGAAATGGTGGACAAGGAAAACCATGAGATAAACTCAGTAAGTAAATATGGAGTGCCCTTAATTAAACTTATAGTATGCCAACAAGTACAATCACAAAAACAGAAACAGTACGGGAACGAAATAGACGTTTTCTCTATAGGTCACGGCCAGTGTTATAAACCTCCCACTGACAGGCATACGATTTACTAGTGTATAATCCCACTAGCAGGATAACAGAAACGAACCGGTTCTATTAGTAACATGTTGACATGTGCTAGCGTTTATAAACCTCCCACTAGTGGGCACACGAATAACATGACCATATTGGAGACAAAACAGACAGAAGTTAATAGAAAAATCATCATTCACTAATCACTTTCAAATAATCAGGACAATCAATTAAATCTCAAGTAGGCATGCTCATTTCAATAAAAAGAATAATAATCTTATTTCAAATCAGTCATACTTACTTTTGTATGAAACGAGTTTAGTCACGCCACCACTTCAAAAACAAGTCAAAATATACTTTTAAAAATAGTACGGGCATTACCATAAATTTACTTACCTCAAATCGCATAAAACCGAGCATTCAATTCACGTACTAAAACACCCTAAGGGTCAAGAACCTAATCAAATATTCAAGAATTAATTCCGTACTATCACAAATTCACACTAAAATCATCATTAAAATTACCCTTAATCACGATGCTATTTCCTATCAATCTTCACATTATCAGATATCTCCAAATTCGTTCTTATATCACAAACTAATCATTTAAATCCCCGTTAATGGTGGACCCTCGGTGTGTGAACAGTAATCTATGAACAGTGCCCTAAACAGTATCCGTGAACAGTACCACGACGTGAACAGTAACTGCATTTCCAAAAATTTGCCAAAAAAACACTAGCTAATTTCATGGGATTTTTCTCCAAAAATCACAACAATCTAAATCAAGCTAATTTACACTTAAACTAAGCTTAAAACATAGCTTAGCTACCAAAATTCCCCCCATTTTTCCAGCACAATTCGGACACACAATAGGGCAGCAATTAAAAGCAAATAAATGGACAAATTCGGGGGCTTGGAGGGCTGCCACATACCAGAATTCTCCAGCTAAAACCGGAGCTGCAGTTGGGGAAGAGGCCCGCGGCAAGTGCAGGGAAAGCTCACGGGTTTACCCAAAATTCAAGAACCAAAAGCACAAATTAGAGTAACCCAAGCCCAAATCAAGGAAGAACAAAGGAATTAGGGGCTGTTCTTACCGAAAAAATGGCCCAGAAATCACCCACAATCAAGAGCAGCCGGCGGAAGGACAAAGCAGAGCAGGGCAGATCCGGATTTTCCAGCAGAGGGGAGAGATTTCTGGGTTCCAATCTTGTTCTTGAACAAGAAAAGAAGGGAAAAATCCAAGCTTCTTACCGGTTTCTTTCTTCATGGGGGGGCTGTCGGGCTTGGGGGCTTTGCCGGCTGCAGGGGAGAAGAAAAGAAGAGCAGACGCGCGGCTGAGGAAGAAAAGAAAGAAGAGAAAAAGAAAAGGTTAAATGCTTAATTTGGTCCCTTAACTTTATGAAATGAACATTTTTGGTCC